TAATGCACTTTTACACCCTCTCAAGATATACAATATAGGGTTATTTACATTTTGAATTCGGGACCCTTGGCAAAGTTAAAGGAAAAAGAGGCGACAGAGACCAGGAAAAAGAGGCGACAGAGACCAGGAAAAAGAGGCGACAGAGACCAGGAAAAAGAGGCGACAGAGACCATTACACACAAGAAAAGCCATTACATCTAAGCATAGATGTTCGAGTGCATTTGTCCGTTATATAAGACAGGTTGAATTTTCTCTTGGTGGACAGTATATTTCACGTGCACAGACTTGCAAACACATTGTTCATGGAGGAACGACAAATATTTCCCCATTTTGTACCAGCAAGTATACTTCGTTCAAACTAGATGTTACCATCTTCAGGAGCCCTTTGGGGTTAAAGACTATCAAGTGAGACTGTATGTTGACAATACAGCCATGACTAGTTGGCTTCACTGACCACAAACTGTTCACGTATAGCATGACCATCACACACACACACATATACATACAAACACACACACACACACACACACACACACACACACATATACATACAAACACACACACACAAACAGGTTATGACTGACTTACCTTTAGAGCTAGTAGCCATATCCGCCACCTTTTGAAAGGCTTCCAGAAAGGCTCCAATTGCCACCACAGTAGTTCTGTGAAATAGAAACAAAAACGGGAGAGACGGTCAATAATGATTGTAAAATCTTTAGTCTTGTGGACGAAAAACCGGGTACAGCAAACAGCTTTAATGTAAGCTTAGTCTAACAATTACCCTTTTTCAGGTGTGGGTGAAGTCATTCAAAGTGACCAAAATGCAAGAACCCTTTGCATTTAGGTAGGTATAAACCCATCACTCTGATTCAAAATGATATAAAATATGTATATCATTGTCTTGTCAGGGAATAAACCATACCATACAGTCACTGATGCAAGTATCTCAGAGCACCCATAATGGGTATAAAAGTTATCCTTGGACAGTGGTTTTTATCGGAATCAAACTCACAGAACGTTCCAAACAAAGATTTCTAAGAGGCTTTCAGCTATGCATACATATTATGCTCATTACCCATGTGTCAACTGGACAAGGAATAAAAGACTGTCGATCAAGGCCTATCCTCGTTAAGTGGGATATATCATCCCACGAGAACAAACCCAACACACTCAATAAAATCAAGTTCCCAAAGTGGGAATCGAACACACATCTTTCATGTGAAGGCCGACAGCCTCACCATTACAATACACAGGCCAGTAAGCAGATGAGGCCTACAGGGACATAAATAATTAACGGCCCAGTTGCTCTCCCCACTTTGACCTTCTGGGTCAGAGCAGCACCCAAGGGACCAATCACGGGGGAATCCTCCACACTGCATTATTGATGACGCCACTCACAGCACAGACACCGGCATAAAAGGCAGCCAGGACGTCAGAAATGTTACACACGCACGTGTAACCGTGCAGTAAACGACTAGTTCCGACAGCGCCAACTCTACGGTCTTCAACGATGCCCTGTTCTAATCCGTTGATGTAGTGTGGCATTTTCAAACGATCTCAATCTATAGATCAAAGTTTTTACACTAGATTGTACGGGGCGGGCGGATGGGCAACGGACGGGGCAGTACGATTTCAAACACATTACTACCCAACTGCAACTACAAACAAAAAACAAGAAAAACTTTCAAGACAGCTACAGTAACAAATTTCCTGAAAAAAATAGGCCAACATATGTTATATCCGATTGGCAAAGCATAATTATTGTGAAATTATTCTGCTGTTATTGGGGCTTTTTTCCCACCTAAAGAGAACTAACCAGCACCATTCCGGGCCTTTGCTTTTAATCACCCCCCCC